ACTGGTGCTTTGTACGCCTGATGATGACCCGTAAAATGGTCGAAACATGTTGCGTCTCTAATAAACATAATAAAAGCAAATATTGATGGATCAGTATCTTTTTTGTTTTGAATACTGACTGTTGTTATGTAGACGGCACATTCCACACTTTATATCTTACTGATGACAAAAACAGGATGCACACAATTTATGTTCGCGCAACAAGACATGACAAAACAAGTCGAATTCTCGTTACTGTGTAATTATATGCGTTCACGTGGTCTCATTCTAAGGGCGCGTCCACATTACTCGTGCTCGTGCTCGTCGGGAGACTCGTCTGGCTTTTACTTGTGCTCGTAAATCTTCGTCCACACTACTTCAGTTGCTCGCCAGGCTTCGGCGCGTGAGGATCCGTATATTTACTCGTAGTGTGTATAGGCTGTAGTCGTGTTTTAATTTATTGGCTGTAGTTGTTAAATTACAAATTTTAAATTTGCTTGTCTCGTGACTTGTCATATCGTCCACATTACTGGCGAGTATAGCGAGTCACATGAGCACGAGTAATGTGGACGCGCCTTAAGACATGAACTCAATATAAACGACGGCGTTCCAGAGGGTATTTAAGGCCCAATTATGTTGCTAATGATCTCTACAGGGCGAATCGTGTTGGAATGAACTCGGGCTGTTAGCACAGGCACTGTAGCCTTCATGAACGCGCGGTCTGAGATGAGCTGGTCACTAAAGCTATGTTAAGGTTAATACAACCATTATATTGCACACGAAATAACATTAACATTTAGCTGAAATTCTGAGGCATTATGCTACTAGCTGGAAGTCGCGGGTTCGATTTTCGATGAGGTCATTGGATTTTTTTCAATTGACCTAATCCTTCCAGCCGCAATATGGCCCTGGGGTCGACTCGGCCTCTAACAGAAATGAGTACCAAGAATCTTCCTGGGGTGGTAAAGGCGGCCGGTGTGTAAGGCTGACAACCTTACCATTTGTGAGCCGATTATCTTGAAGATGTGGGAGCTTCGACGTCTCACAACCCCATGGGCCTTCACAGCCTGTTACAGTCATTGCGCCCGCAGTGTCCAACCAGTCTGCGAAAAACGCAGTTACGCAGGAAGAATGAAAACAGAACAACTAGTCACTGGACACGTCCATTCAAGTACTTCGGATCTTATCAAACTGCCGTACTCTCATACTGACTGACCACATTCCTTGATAACAATAAAGGTTGAAATTCATAAGAGTCCAGACATACAAATGTCCACGTAACCAGCATCTGCTCACACTGGTTCCTGGATCGCGGATTTTCTTTTTTATTCTACCCTGAAGATGGAGACGACAGTTCCTGGAAAACGTCGGCTAACACAATATCTACACGGCGCCACATCCAAGAAGAAGGCTTTCTGCAAACTGACAACTGGTTATTACAAGAGTACTGTCACTTCCTACAAGATTTTCCTCGGCGATGACAAGTTACGACTGGGAGTGTGTGTACAGTTATGCAAGCCAATCTAAGATGGTTTTTCCTTAGAATACTTGAAACGTTGGCTACGGGCTGGACGACGGAGGGGTCGCAGTTCGAATCCCGATGGGGTCAAGATTTGTCTCTTCTCCACGCCGTCCATACCGGCTCTGGGGTTCACTCAAGCTCCTAACGAATGGGTACAGGGGTCTTTTTACCTTGGGGTGAAACTGACCACTCAGCTCCAACTGTTGCCGAGCTCAAGAAAATGTGGGTCTATACCTGTACTCCCCCATACGCCTTCATGGCGTAGTGCTTAATTACTTAAGGGCAGGAACAAATTTATACACTTTTATCTTTGAAACGCATTTTGCAGACGCCGAACACTTCTCGGCAAAGCAGTAACATTTCGTAAACGTAATATTCCTTGTTCGCAGTTTTAACGGACGTCTGAGTGCCACAAAACAAACTCCGTGATTTCAGCCCGCAAGCGAACTATACCGACCGAGCGACCGCTGCTTGTCGGCGAAGTATAGTGCCAACTTTTACGGACAGAGGGTGTCATGTGGTCAGCGCAATGAATCCCACCGGCCGTTAGTTTCGTTCTTCTAGACCGGAGCCGCTATTTCCTCGAAATATCTCCTCAATTCTGCTCACGAGGCTGAGTGGACCCCGTTCCAGACCCCACTATTTTTCCAAAAAATATCTGGTAGCACCGGGAATCGAACCCGGACATCTGGATGTGTAGTCAGGAACGCTGACCACTAGACCACATTATTTTTTTATTACTTGCTGGGGTGGGATTGAGTCCACTCGGTACTACGGCCACTTCTGGCCTATTGTACCAGCCCCAGATGATAGGTGAGGGTGATTGTGGAGCAATTGGTGGAATGAAGTTTGGCAGGGGAAACCGAAGTACTCGGAGAAAACCTGCCCCAGCGCCACTTTCTCCACCACAAATCCCACTTGACCAGACCCGGGATCGAACCCGGGCCGCCGCGTTGGGAAGCCGGCGAATAACCGCTTGAGCTATGGCAAATAATTCATGACGCAGACGCAATATGATTTGTTTACTTTTTCGTACTTGGAACGAATGACTTGTTGTATGCTCAAGTCGCGCAGGTGTGTTCACTATGCGTTAACACTTTTGGAGAGACACATCGACGAGCAATGCGACAGACCCGGTGCCTCCGTAGAACAAACCGCGGTATCAGAACATATGATTGCAGTAAACATGGTTAGAAGAGTCCAAGTTCCTCTCCTTTGATAATGGTAAATATTGTAATTTTGTAAACTGGGTTTCAGTAGTCAATAAATAAATGGCGTTTATAAGACCATTCTTCTCTTTCCATCGCTGTGAATGTTTTTCCTAAACAGGACATTGTCTGTCAAACATAAATCGAATATAATTACTTATTTGTGTTATAAAGACATTTCTATATAAGCTAATAATTCTAAGGCACATTTGTACTTCTAATGTTTTCCCAGCGTTTTCTAAAGTGCATATTCCATGTAGCAGTGAATGGAAGGATGCCAAAGAATGACGAATTATGACTGTGCAAGGACACAATCGTGGCCTATTCAGTGGTACTTCCCCGGAGGGGCATAAGGAAACATTAAAAGCCTCAATGAAAATGTTCGCTCTGTGAGCCACGAACCAATATCTGTGCCTCCAGAGCACGAAGCGGCAGTGATAACTGGGTTCGCGATGTTCTTGAGGATTTTGTATGAAATTGTACTAAATTCTAGCAATTCTCGTGGAAGACTCTGATACGCGAGGTTTCTGGGTCAAACGCCACGTGAGTTACGCAGCCCGTTAGTTCTCTGGAAGTTCGTAATGACGTGTTTGTCTGCTGTGCTTGCTACGTCCGTTACATGGGCAGGGGAGTGTTCAAGGAAACCGAAAGTTGAACTCCAGGTCTGCGGGCGTTTCATTCTCAGTTCCGTAATTGTACAGATTTAAATTACAGATACGTACTTATGTTACAAATAAATGGGACGCGGCATAAATAGATACAAAAGTAAATAAATACGTATACAATAAGTAATATGACTACCATACCGAGGTTCAGAACTAGCATTCACCTTGTAAAGGTGATTAACATGATTTTCTTTCACTACTCTTAAATGACTCTTAACCAAACTTCAGTAAACCATAATTAAAAATCATACCCAACTCACGAACCTACAGACTTCGACCCTGAAGAAGGAAGTACGTACCTCCAAAATGCTGACAATATCACCTACAACCACACGGTGTAACAACCCAAGAGCAGAATTTGCATTAGAAGAATAACACTAGGTTAAATTCTTTCCGGTATGTTGCGCTGAAATCTTAGGATGTCTCGACTGAACATGAGGGCATGGACCAGATAAAATAAAGCACAGAACGTACTGTCTTTCTTGCTCTATGGTCCGGTAAGTTTGCTGTGGTACAATACGAGCCCCTCCAGAAGTAGTTTAGGCTCTTTACTACATATCTCTGTGCCCCATTAAGTTACATTCTTACAGCGCAATAACACCGCGGCGGCCCGGGTTCGATCCAGGGTCTGGTCAAGTGGGATTTATGGTGAACAAAGTGGCGCTGGGGCAGGCTTTCTCCGAGTACTTCGGTTTCCTCTTCCAATCTTCATTTCACCAATTGCTACACAATCACCTTCACCTATCATCTGGGGCTGGTAAAATAGGCCAGAAGTGGCCATAGTACCATGGACTTAGTCCCGCCCAACTAGCAATAAAAAAAATTATTACAGCGCAATAACCAGTGAATATATATTTCGGCTCCAAAAGCTGGGGCCTTTCAGATGAAGCCCCCCCCCACAACACAAAATGGCTTTAATCATTTTGATGCAATTTCGGTGATGTGTGAAGACCATATCCCTAATGGTTTCTTCAGGGAAAACAACCTACGAGCACTAGTGGCACAAATGTTTTCTCAATGCGTGATTGTCCTAGCTTGCATATTCAGTGGCGAACAGTGATAATTTTCGAAAACAATCTCTTTCTTTTTTACCGTGACGTAATAAACGTGAATTGTATACAAGGAAGTACACGGACGTATTTCCTTCTTATTTTAACGTGCACGCTAACAGTGGGAGTTTAACTGGTCCAAGGTCACTTTCACTAGAATGCATACACAGTGTTTTCATTTTCGTCAGGCAATTTCGTAATTTGTTTTTAACATTAATTCAGAGGAACATCATATACTGACAATAAAAAGTCTAAAATACCCAGAAACGTAGAGTGCACATTCCAAATGTGCTTAAAATTTCACCTCATTTTCCAACAGTTTGTACGGCATAATTCACCCCAATTCAACAGTTATGTATGGAACACTTCAACGCATTCGTCACGGATGACCACCTGAACAAAACTGTATGAGGTCGCTCACTCGTATTCACACGAAACGCAGTTCTGAGCACTGCACAAGGCAAGAACTGTAACCATCTCCATATGACAAGACAATAGTTGGCATTACCCTTTCTTATAAAATGGCGTTCTATTGCAAGCACATGTCTATTTACTAGGGACGGGCATACACTCGTACCTGTGCAAACAACAGTAGATACTACGTTAAGGAAGATGGAGTCGTTCTTCATGCTAAAGCAGTACTTCGTTACCGGAGCACACAGCGACCATGTGGTCTTTCGTATCACTGCACTACAGCTGCGCACGTCTTGCAGCAACGTCAGGCTTGCCAGGTGAACACGCGGGAACTGAGAGAGGTTTGAGCGGCTTGAGAGTTGGTTGACTCGTTGAGGTAGGCGTTTCATTCTGCACAGCGCCACGCTGCGGCAGAGCAGTTAAACAATCACGCCACCACCATACTAGGAACAAAAAAAAAAAATAGCACACTAAGGTAACTAGCCTTGCTTACTACCTGCGAGTAGAAAAGCGCTTTTCATTCTTTTGTTATGTTGACTGCGACATAACTGAATCTTCCGAAAGCCCACACCTAAGATCCCTAGTTATACAAGCCATTCAAACGTATATAATCCGATATCATAAAGGTCGATCTTTCGATTTGTTGCTTCCTGCTGCTAACAGTGACATGCAAAGGGATTTTCAGGATCGAAAACGGATAGTCAAATGATCACTTAGATACCAGAATTAAAGAGATGAGAAAGTGCCCAAATAGAAGGGAAACTATCCATCCCTAACAAACAAATTGAACAGTCGGAGAGTTCTATATACCTGGGAAGCAAAGTAACGCAAGATGGAGGAACAGATCTAGACATAAGTAAAAAAATAAAAAAGAACAAATATAGCTTTTATACAATTATAACAGATATAGTAAAGTAAAGGTAACTGTGTAACAGGCCGTGGAGACCCATAGGGTTGTGAGATGTTGAGGTTCCCACATTTTCTAGACAATCGGCTGATAGATGGCGGCAAGGTTGTCAGCCTTACGCGCCGGTCGCACTTTACCCTAAAGAATATTCCTGGTGCTCATTTCTGTTAGAGGCTGAGTCGACCCCAGGGCCATAGTGCGGCTGGAAGGATTAGGTCAATTGAAAACAATCCAATGACCTCATCGGGATTCGATCCCGCGACTTTCCGGCATAGTGCCTCAACCAACTACGCTACCGCTTGCACAGAGCCTTGTTTTGCATGCGCTGCAATTTTAAGATGTAGGTGTCTGTGTTTTGTAGTTTTTAGAATACCGAACGATGGACAAAGTCCGAAAAACCCATTAACTCTTAAGTATTATACACCAACCTCAGAACATTTTAGACTCTACTTGAACTGTAATAATTAAAAATATTTAACACTACAAATTATACAAGAATGCACATCGTAAATCCGCTAAAATCTGTTACTCATTAATCATTAGGGACGTATACAGCAAATGGCGGACGGTAAAGAAAGCATTTCTTAAATTCGAAAATATCTAAACAATGCAAATGAGTATTGAGTAAAAGTCAAGTATAATGGTTAAAGTTAAACAGAGTTCCCACATTGCTGCTTACTCATATTATTGTCAAGATATTAGAGTGACTGGAGATGCGGTTTGGACTGGTAATTGGATTTATTGAAATATTACAGAAAGTAACTACAAATAACTCTGATAGTCCCACTGAGTTACACACTCCAAATATAACTGTTAACTACAGAACACATTAAGTCTTTTCAGTCTTTCCTAGCTGTTGCTCAGTAGCGGCTTCCAAAGGCGGACGTTCCCCTTATTCTGGGTTCCCGAACTATCCCCGACCTCAGTTATAGCAGCTGTCGAAGAACTCATTCTCTTGATAACCATCTACTCCACTCCACTGACTAACTGAGCTCCACTCTAAACTTGTCCCGCTTATAACATCTCAGCAGGGACCGCACAGAAATCACCTTTCCTATTTGCTGTAGTTCAACTGTTGCCGTTGGAACATGTTTGTTTGCAAAGCGCGTTATTCAGTAACGGCAGGTGTATATTTGCTTATCTCGCGGTCGTTCCCCAGCAACGGGCCTACAGGCCACAATATATTTAAATTAAATAAGAGGGTACATATGGGGCCTTCCTAGGCCAGGGGCCTGAGCCAGAAGGAGTTGCTGACCCTCTCCTCTACATGGCCCTGTGCAGGAGTCTTCTCTATTCTGTTGCACTTAACTACTTCTATTCGCTTAGTCACTATTCTCCTGTCACGTTGTATTCACTAGTCTACAGCTCATTGTTATTTGATTCAAGTCCATCTGATCTTTATTTTCTTTAGGTTTTTTTTATATTTTATAGGCTCTTTCGCGAAATCCGTGTAGATACGTCAGCTTCGGGGTTTTTTTTCCTTTGCACTACAGCCCCAGTGGGCCTAGGCCTACCTCCATGAACTTCTCCGTTCACTTTGGTTTTTCTAGATCTTACACTTTCGGTAGGACTCCTTGGGAGGGTGATCAGCTCGTCGCAAGGCCTCTACCTGTACACAAACACAGAAAAACGCACACACACACAAAACTAAACATCCATGCCCTGAGTGGGATTCGAACCCACGATCCCGGTTTCCAAGCGCGCGAAGACAGTACATGCCTTAGACCGCTCGGCTACCGTGACCGGCAGCTTCA